GATCCCGTGGGATCCAGGAGTACTGCACAGCCTGGGGATCATGGGGCAGGGATCCCGTGGGATCCAGGAGCTCTGCACAGCCTGGGGATCATGGGACAGGGATCCTGTGGGACCCAGGAGCCCTGCACAGCCTGGGGATCATGGGGCAGGGATCCCTCTGTCCTGTGGGATCCAGAAGCCCTGCACAGCCTGGGCACCCTCCTCCTTTTCCTCTGCCTTGACAAGCCAGGATCAGGGAGTTTGGGAACCTTTGGCAGAGCTGTCAGGAGCTGGGAAGAGCCTCCCTGCCCCAGGCTGTGCCTGGCAGCTCCCTCCCCTGCCTGCTCTGCAGGTCACCTTGTCCCAAGCTCTGGACACACAGCTCCTCTCCCTGTGCTCCCCAGAGTCCTCTGGAGCCTGGTTTGGGTGAGGAACAGCTGAAGTGGCAGCTCTGGGAGCCTGCCCAGGGAGTTCCCACAAGCTGCCAGCTCTCCTGTGGCTCTCCCTGGGACGGGAGGAGGTGCCTGAGGAAGAGGGAGATGGGAGAGGCCAGTCTGGACTCACCTGGAAGCAGGTGTTGCCTCCCAGCCCATCCCATGTGCAGCCTCCCTGTCCCCTTGGGGTGCTCTTTTCACTGTAGACTCCCCAAACCCTCTGTGACAGCAGCTCAAGTTCCTGTCCGGGTCGTTCCCTCCCTCCTGCTGCCCTTGGATGTGTCACCCCAAACCAGGGAGGCTGTACCTTGAGCCACACCCCAAATCCTACAGCCCCTTGTGCTGGGTCAGGCTTGGGAATACAGTCAGACATGTTTTACTGCACCAGAGGGAGCAGCCTCCTGGGAAGTTGGTACCCTGCGGTTCCCATCTTCTTCCCAACCAGGGTGGAGACAGATCTTTTGGAGAGGAATTCAGGGAAAGCCCTTCTGGTCCTGAACTCCTGGAGCTCATAATCCCTTTCTCTGGGTTTGGGGCCTCTTAGTGGCCACCTCAGAGAGACGTGGAGCCCAGGCTGCTTCTGCCTGACCTCTCTTCTCCTCTCCTCCTGCAGGGACCTGCTGTCCCCAGACTCCCTCCTCAACTGCCTCTACCCAGGAGACCACGGGAGGAAAACCCCCAACCCGGCCAACCAGTTCCAGTTTGACAAAGTGGGGTGAGTGGGGGTGGTTGGGCTGAGTACCCCGCTCCCAGCATGGCACATGCCTCCCTGGCCTCTCAGGGAGGCTTTGGAAGGGGTGGGACAGGGTGAGGGGATGCTCTGGGGGTGACATGACCCTTCCTTGTTGTCCCCCACAGCATCGTGACCTTGAGCGATTACGTGACAGAGCTGGGGCACCCCTACGTGTGGGTGCAGAAGCTGGGAGGCCTGCACTTCCCCAAGGACCAGCCTCAGGCATGGCACACCCCCTCCCCTGTCCCCCACAGCAGCTTTGGGGACGCTCTGGGGACACTCGTGTCCTGTCCTGTCCCCTCAGAGCTGCTCCCAACCCACGGCGTGCCCATGGCTGGGACGGGCTGGGCTGGGCTGGGTCTGTGTGTGGGGCACAGAGGGGATGGTCTAAGCCCTGTAAGGGACACTGAGCCACCCAGCTGGTGGCTCCTGGGCTGCGGGGTGCCAGTGACAGTGCCACCCCTCCTGCCCACAGCACATGGTCACTGCCAGTGACAGTGCCACCCCTCCTGCCCACAGCACATGGTCACTGCAGATAATTCCCTGAGTGCCAGTGACAGTGCCA